GATTCTCTGCCGTGTGGTCCCAGAGACCCTTCTGGCTCCACCTCCCACCATTTCCCTTTCATTTGCTCACTTACTCCAGCCACACCAGCCTGGCAACCGGGACACGTGGAGCTCGTTCCAACCTCACGACCTGTGCACTTGCTTTTTCCTCCAGGAACACCTACTCCCCAAGATCTCTGCATCTGTTTCATCATTTAAGTCTCAGCTCAAATGCCATCTTCCCCAAGAGCCTTCTGATGATTTGATCCAAATTATACCCACCCATCCACTAATTTATCCATCACATCCCTGCTTTATTCTCTTCCTAGCACATTTCACAGTTTGAAGCTTTCTTGTTGGCTTATTGGCTTCCTTATTTATCATTTCTCTCCTCACTACGACAGGGAGAGGCCTTGTCTCTCTTGTTTGGTCCTTTCCAAAGACAGAGAAAAGCATCAGCACAGAGTCACTGACCAGTGGTGTTTCTGAAGTGGGCCTCCTGGGCCTCGGCATTGCTGGCCTCACAGCCTGAACAGTCTTCTCATACATTCAAATGCAGAGAAATCTTAAAGCCTTGGAAGATTTACCAAAAACATATTTTTTCAAGAAAAGTTTCAATTGCATTCCAAAGGTGTAAAACAAACCAGAAAGTCACCAAAGCTCAATATAACAGTCAAAAAAAGTTTGAAATACCAAAGAAGAAAAATGATGTCATGCAAATAGGAGAGGAAAGAATCTAATGTTTCCTGTGCAAAAGTCAAGGAGCAGGCAAAATTGAGCTTTGCAGAAACAATTTTCATTTTAGACAGAAGCCACAGTTTGGAGAGGAAAAAGGAGTCTGTGAGAAGAAACCTCCAGGAAGGTCACAATGACCCCTAATTGTTCCTCTTCTCTATCCCATGACAAATTGGCTGTGTTGCTCCCCATGCTCCCAACAGCTCCCCAAAGACTGTGACTGGGATCCGATCCATCTTTGTGCCCCCTTAGTACACGGCACAGAGCATGATGCCTTCAAGACCTGCTGAACACAGCCAAACCTCCTATTTATGAGATGACAAAATCATTTTGTCAATATAAATGCTGATTATTATGCAAAATGCAAAAATGCTGCACCTAGGGCTCCTCTACAGGTCCTACCTTTGACTCACATGTTCTGAGCACAAAACTTCCACTATGCTGCCGATTCTGTGATGTTTGCTGTCCCTGGGAAAATTGGGACCTGGAAACTCTCAAACGTGAACATTTCTTCTTTAAATGCTTATACCTATGCTTGCAATTAAAAGGCCTACCACCAGGTGGCAGTTAGGATTACACAAACTATCAAACCTAGTTTAATTTCTTAAAACTGTACTTCTAATTAAAATGCACTCGAAATTAAAACAAGCTACATACAGATACACATATATATTTTAACCTATCATATTGGCATAGATTTAAAAGTATAATAATACCCACATTTGGCTGGTGTTTGAGGACACATGCACACACTGTTGGTGGGAATGTAAATTAGTACCGCCACCTGGAGGGCAATTTGGCAATACACATCAAAAGCCTTAAACATGTGCAAACCCTTTGGTCCAGCAATTCAACTTCTAGACATTTACTCTAAGGAGATAATCATGGAAATATACCCACATTTATTCCCAGGATGTTGACTATAAGGCTAAAATATATGCTAATATAAATAATATAACTTGAAGACAGGTAAAATAAATTATATATGATAAAATACTATGAAGCTAATATGTTCTATCAGAATTCTTGAAGACGTGGAGAAATTTCAAGCTATATTAAGTGAAAAAAAAAGAGGCTACAAAAAAGTATGTCCACCGTAATCCCATTCGTGAAAAGCAAATTCGCACGTAAAGGAACTCTGGGAGAACAAATAACAAAATATTGCAGAGACTTCTCTGTGGTTGGTAGGATTATGGATGATTGCATTTTCCTTTTTTGTGCTTTTCTCTTTTGGGAAGATTTTATAATAAACATGCTTCTGTTGCCATCAGAAGAGAGCTATTAATGAACCCTTGCAGCAGAAAGGACAGGCTGGCTTCTGTACAGGGATGCTTGGGGATAAGATGGCCCTGGGCTCTTGACAGCCCACAACTTGCCCCACAGAAGCGTGCATTTGGCTCCTAAGCCCCTGTCCCCCTGCCACTACTATGCGGTCCACGTACAGATCTGGTTTCAGCTGGTCTCGCTTAGGGGAGGGGCCAGTCTAAATTAATCCAGAATTAAGCCAGCACAGTCTTCACCACAACCCTCCTGCTTGACCCTTCTTGCTCTTACTTTCCTTTAGGAAGTGACATATTTTTAGCAAGCACAAAGAAAAAAAACTCTTTCTCCAGGCTGATCTTGAAGCTTACTAAACTGCAGAAAAAACCTTTTTCTAAAAGCTGACCATCCTCAAAGCCATTTTCCTTTTGAAACACTGCAGATGTGTGTTGGTAGTACAGAGTAATTTTCTAAGCTCATTTTTCCTTCTGAGGTTTCCTGTGGTGAGGGAAGACAGCGATATTACCAAGGCAGTGCTGTGCCCTGCGTCGCACTGGGGCTATGTGTGCGCCATCACACCGAATCTCCCACAGCAGGCTCTGAAATGCATGAGTCTGCACAGCTGAGCCGAATCTGACCCACTTGATGCCTGCGGACGGATACTCAGCACAGGAGGTGCCTCTGGTGGCCTGGGCCCTCATTCCGCAGTCGTCCTAACCTCTGGGATGACCATACGAGGCAGTCTGCAAGCACAGCCCGGGCTGGAAACCAGCCCCTTCACAGGCCAAGAAATCTGGATTTCAGCTCAAGACACACGGACCCCTGTGAGCCTAAGGAAGTCCTCTCATCCACCCCCTCTGCCAGAATGGGTCTGCTTTCCCTCCTTTTGTGGAGTTTTTTTATGTGCAAATTTGCTTTTATATTTATTATTCTAAAAATGAGATTATGGTGGACATACTTTTTTGTAGTCTCTTTTTTTCACTTAATATAGCATGAGATTTCTCCACATCCTCAAGAATTCTGACAGAATGTAGTAGCTACATAGTATTTTATCACACATAATTTATTTTATCCATCTTCAAGCTATATTATTTATATTAGCATATATTTTAGCCTTATAGTCAACATCCTGGGAATAAATGTGGGTATATTTCCATGATTATCTCCTTAGAATAAATGTTTAAGGTATGGGTGTCACCCGTACCCTGTGGGCCTCATGGAGGAGATAGCCAGGGCAGCACTGCCAGGACGAAGGTGCTTGGAAGCACACAGCTGGGGGAGCTGGCTGGCTGCTGTCACTGCAGGCACGGACACCCTAACCCAGCAGGAGGCAGGGCCAGACCAGCCAGGAAAGGCACCCCGATCTATGTGGAAATGGACGTGTGTGCACAAACTGGAGTGGGGTGACCCCAGAAAAAGAGGCGCCCTGGCCCTTGTGCAGTCCTGGGTGTGACACCAGAGTCCCAGGAAGTTTGACAAGGTCCCCTCACCTAGCCTGGCCAGGCAGTGGGGAAGGCCCGGTGGGCTCTAACCTGCTTCTTCCCCAGAAAGCTCCCAACTTCACGCCAGATGGACATGCTCACATCCATCTCTCTGCCTCCCCACTTCAAACTCACAGAGCCCCGTCGCTGGCCCAGGTTCGGTGCCAAGCACCTCATATGCTAAAGCTCAGACTTAATTTGGGACAGCCCTGTACCAGCCCCAGGAACCTGACGCTCATTTGCCACCAGGGTTACCTCCCGTATTCTGTAGCCCCTCCAAGGCAGGGCCTCAGCATCTGGGTGCTCCAGGCATCACATCACTTCACCTGAGCCTCAGCTGCTTGCCCAGGCTTCACAGCCAGTGAGTGGTGAGGGTGGGCTGCCTAGCTCGGCACCTGGACTCCAGGCACCCCCTGCCCTGCCCCCGTCCTGGCAGAAAGGGCAGTGATGAGGGAGAAGAGACCTCTGTGGGAGACAGACCCCCAGCGGCCAGTCAGGTGCCCCCTGTCCTTCAGCTGGGAAAAGTGACTCCCACCATTAGCTGGCATCCCCTCTGATGCTCGCAGCCAGGGAGAAAGGACTCCTGGTCACTGTGCTCAGAGGAGATGTAGCGGGGGAAGCGGGAAGAAACCTATTCACCCAGCCACCATCTACTCCCGGGGACACCAGCCAGGAGGCAGAGCATGGGAAGACACACCCAGGTCTCCCTGGTGCCGGGGGCTGGACCACCTTCTCTGGCCTCCTGGGAAGTAGGCCCCTGCGGGACTGGCCCCCCTCCCCACCCTGGCCTTTGCCCTCCACCACCAGCCTGTCCTGGCTCTGGACAGATCTGCTCATTAGAATGGCCTCGAATCAATCAACATTTTCCTCACTGAATCTTCATGGCCTGAAGAGACAGAACAAATTGTCCTCCAACAGGACTGTACTGCCCCGTCTCTTTCCACCAGGCTCACCCCCTGCTCTGATGGGTCAGGGCTTCTGGAGGCTGTGGTCACCGTCCTGAGCCTCTGTGCAGGGCACCACAGCAGCTCAGCCACCTTTCATCCTGCTGCTTATGCAGCACTGGCTCTGCCCTGGGCTGGGGATGTTGATTCCAGGTACAAGGTAACTTCTAGGTTTAATTATAAAAGATCTGAGAAGTGATGGCACCACAAACTGGAACCAATCAGTCTCCAGTTCCCGAGTGGTGAGAGGACACAGTGGGCTGGCACAGGCGGCCCCCTGCCTACCGGGAAGAGGGCGCTCCATACAAAGGCCTGGCCTCTGGGCTTAAGGCTCACATACTGGGCAGGAAGAATGACATGGGGTGGATTCGGAATGCCGAGGGCACTCCTTCTGGAAGCCCCTTTGCTCTGCTGGCGGGCCTGGACCTGCAGATCTGCACTTTCTGCAGCGTCACCGAGCTAATGCTGATCCCCTCCACAGAGAGCAGAGCCATAGGGGGGCAGTGGTGCAGGGGGAGAGGCGCGCAGACAAAGTAAATAAAGGAAGAATAGTGGCTTGAGAGAAAAGGGCAAAGAGAGCAAAAAATAAATGGCAAATTACCGGGTAGCCATCTCGTCCCGACTGCCCCTGTGGTAATTAATAGGTCATTAATAATCAGACTTTCAGCAGAGAACCATATGGCAACACTTAGAACTCAGTCAGGGCCCCAGATCCTCCCACGATCTGCAGGGTTTAAGCGGAGGCTGATGGTTAGTAACGGACTCCCTCAAGGCGGGGGCTCAGCACTCTGCCAGGTCTGGAGGATGCAGCACCCGTTTCCTGCCTCACAGGGCCAGGCTGGAGGGGCCCCCAGGGCACACAGCCATGTGTAATCTCCCTGTCAGCTGTAGCACATAACGAAGACCACGTGGGGACGTGGGACTCCAGAGGGCAGTGCCACAGCCATCATGGAAAATGCTCCTTAAGTTGGGCCTAGAGAGCAGAGAGGGGCTTCCTGCCTGTTGCCTCTGGGATGAGGTCAACTGAGGAAGACAACCTTGGAAGCCAGAAGATGGGGCCAGGGGCATTCATTGCTACTGGATGCTTCTCTGCCCCCACGTGCTTGGAGCACTGACTGCCTGGCCAGTGTCCCACACATAGGCATCCATCTCAGGTTGCAGCTTTAAAATCCTCTATTTGTTTAATACACTTTATAGTTTAACAGCCAAGTTACAAAAAAAATCACTCCATAGCCCTCTCCCTTACACACTTCAGCAAGTTCACACAGGCCGGCCTGCATGTGACAGCCAGGAATGACTCAACAGTAAAAGTGCTTGTGGCTAATAAATCTACACATTCTTGCTGGCTTCTTTTTGGCTCAGTGTGGTGCTGGTACATGCATCCAGGAGCCCCGATTCCAAAGGGTGTCGGGTGGGAAATGGATCATGGCAAGTGGAAGTAAAAAATACAACTCCTCATCTGAAAGGAATTCCTGTAGAAGGTTAATTTTGGCTCAAGCTGACTGTCAATGTGCTTCCTGAATTATTTATCAGGATTTATCAGGTTCTGAAAACTGCCAAGATGGATCAAAGGCTGACCTGTCGTGTGTCTGGGAGCAGCAGCAGTTTCCGGGGCACTGACGGTCCGCCCATGCTGCTCAGGCAGCCAGTCCCGCCCCAAGCCCCTCTCAGACGCAGTGCCCTCCCTGGCCAGCTGTGTTCCCAAGGTCTCAGCTGCCCCAATCTGGACAGTGAAGCATATTCTGGCAAAGCAGAAAAACGGACCCCGGGATCTAGTGATCAAGCCCATTCTTAGCATAAATGCCTGAAGCCCTTTCTGCCAAAACACATGAGACAAAAACATTTAAATAGTCAACTGCTACAGAGCATTTGGAAAGCATGGGCACGGTGCTTGCATCTCTGTGCACCAGCTTGAGCCCAGAGATTTGGGGAGGGGCAGCAAGGCTCATGCCAGCTCTCTTGGAAGGAAAATGGTCCCAGAATGCTTCACTGGACAAGTCAAGCCCATGCAATTCTAATTCTGTGCTTGCATTCATCTGCCAAAAAAAAAAAAGGCCCTGTTCAGGAATGATTTTTTTTTCTTTTTTGTTTTTTAGGATACACACACCTCTCTAATCAAACATTATTTTCATGGCAGTGCTATGGAGAGAGAATAAAATGTCTTATCTTTCAGGAGCCGAGAGCATAATCCAGGATACTTACGGGAGGACCTGCAAAACACAAGCAGAGAAGCCACAATCAGCACCAAATGGAGAGAGGGTCCCCTTGTACAGGCTGGCCCCTCCCTCACACGGCTAATGGCCACCCTTCTTGCAAGGCTTTGATGCTGTCACCCGCTCCAAAGCCAAGTGGCAGGGCAGAGGCAGCACATTTGTCTTAGAGGTTGGCATGTGGACGGTGGTGACAGTCACCTGCATGTCGGTTCAGGCATTCATTCATTCCCGGCTCATGGCTCATGAGTTTTGGGTTTTGGCAAGTTGGGTAGGAATCAGATCGGTTCCTGCTTGAAGGATGAATTTTGGTGGAATTCAAAGTGCCACCGGAGGCAGGGCAACCTTTTCCTCCAGGCATGGGGAGCTGCCTGGTGCTGGTGGCAGGGCAGCGGGATCCGTGAGTTGGAAGGCAGGTAAGAAGGACCGCGTGTGGGGCTGGGGAATGAAGGGAGGGCGCTGGGATGCACCAGGGGAGACTCCTGATGCTGCATTTATTGGTGATGAGGAGGTGTCAGCAAGACCGGGGGAAGGAAGAGACTGAGGTCCACTAGAGGCTCAGTTCACTGGAGGAGGGGGCGTGTGAGGGGCTTCTATGTGCATATCAAGATCCCCAGGAATTCACCCAGCAGTGGTGTTGGAGGGAGGGTTGGAGACCCAGGAGCCGAGACCCACTAGCAATGATGGGGGGCACCTGGGATCAGAGATGACCTCAAAGATGCTGACGCATTGCCAATTGACCCTCCACTCTGGGGCCTGAGAGACCTTTTCGAGATGCACATCTGATGATCCCAGCCCCACACTCGTACTCCTCACTCTCCCATTGTTCCTAGGACTAAGGTCTGGATTCAATTCCCTTTCCACCCTTCCAGGCTGCCCCCGCCTCCACCTGAGCCCTCTGAGCCAGTGGGAAGAGAGGCATTATTAAAAGAGAGTGGGGGGCAGACTGGTGACTATCCAAAAAAAGTAAAGCTGAATCCATGCCTTGGCATGAACCACAATAAATTCCAGAAGGATCAAGGATTCACATGTTTAAAAAAATCATAAAAATCCTAGAGACAAATATGGGAAAATTCCTTTGTAATGGTGGAGAACAGCAGGCTTTTCCAACTACAGTTCGGAATCCAGAAGGCATACAATAAAAGTCTAATCCAACCATATAAAAACAAAAATATCTGCAAGGCAGGAAGCACTGTAAGCAAAGTCAACAGCCAAAGCCAAAGATATTTCTAATTCATGTCATAAAAGCCAGATACCTTGGTATAAAAATGCTCCTAAAAATCAACTCTAAAAACATCAACAATCCCGTAGAAAAATGGTCAAAAGATATGAATGGGGTGTTCACAAAAAAGAAAATATAAATAGCCCTTAATTATATGAAACAAAAGTGGATCTTTATTTATAATAAAGAGATGAAGGTTAAAGCTATGATCATATCAGGTTAGAAAAAGTAAGAAAAAATCTGATGACCTATTGTGTGTAGGGAAATGAGGACAGTCACTTCACCCAGGGCTTGAGAGAGGACATACACTGGTACATTCTTTATATGGTGATTTGGCAATACTAATTAGGGCTTAAAATGTATGTGTCAGCTGCTACAACAGCAATCCCCCTAGAAAGTTATTTTTTAGATATGTTAACATATAAGCAAAAGGACAGGTGTATAAGAATATTCATTGCAGAACTGTTCGAGGAAGCCAAAAAGTAGAATTAGCATAAATGGAACTATTTGAAGGAAGGATGGTACATCTTTAAATGGAATGCTATACACCTGTGAAAAGGACTGAAGCAATTTGATATGTTCTGATATAGGACAACAGGTGCAAGGCATACTGTTACATTTTTTAAAAAGTGTGGCAGAGTATGTTAAAATACAGCCATTTGTGCTAAAGAAAACCAGGTAGACTTTTGTTTGTGTGAACAGAAACATTTGTGAGTGCAGTGGCCAGCAGGGTGCCCTCAAGCACAGAAACCAAAGAACAGAGAGGCAAGGGAGGGACTGACTTCCTACCAAGGCCTCTTTGATGTCACTGGGTACACATGTGCCACCTACCAAGTCACAAAAGACAGCACACTTCAACTTAAAAATGGCTGGAGTGTAAAAACTCTCAACAAAATGGGTATAGAGGTCCAAGTCCCTTGACATAATAAAGGCCATATACAACAAACCCACAGCCAACATCATACTTCACAGCAAAAAGCTGAAAGCTTTTCCTTTAAGATTAAGATTGGGAACAAGACAAGGATGCCTACTCTACATGGATTTATTCAACAGAGTACTGGAGGTCCTAGCCACTGCAATCACACAACACAAAGAAATAAAAGTCAAAAAAAAAAAAAAAAAAATATAATGCATCCAGATTGGTAAGGAAGACGTTAAACTGTCACTGTTTGCAGATGACATGATATTCTACATAAAAAACTAAAGAATCCACCCCAAAACTACTAGAACTAATAAGTAAATTCAGCAAAGTTGCAGGATACAAAATCAATACACAGAAATCTGTTGTATGCCTATATACTAATGATGAGCTAGCAGAAAGAGAAATCAGGAAAACAATTCCATTCACAACTGCATCAAAAAGAATAAAATACCTAGGAATAAACCTAACCAAGGAGGTGAAAAACCTATACCCTGAAAACTATAAGACTCTCATGAGAGAAATTAAAGAAGACACCAATAAATGGAAATACATCCCACTCTCATGGACAGAATTAACATTGTCAAAATGGCCATCCTTCCTAAAGCAGTCTACAGATTCAGTACAATCCCTATCAAAATACCAACAGCATTCTTCAGTGAACTAGAACAAATAGTTCTAAAATTCATGTGGAACCACAAAGACCCCGAATAGCCAAAGCAATCCTGAGAAGGAAGAATAAAGCTGGGGGGATTATGTTCCCCAACTTCAAGCTCTACTACAAAGCCATAGTAATCAAGACAATTTGGTACTGGCAGAAGAATAGATGCATAGATCAATGGAACAGAACAGAGAGCCCAGATAAAAACCCAAGCATATATGGTCAATTAATATATGATAAAGGAGCCATGGACATACAATGCGGAAATGACAGCCTTTTCAACAACTGGTGTTGGCGGCAAAACCAGACAGCTACATGTAGGAGAATGAAACTGGATCACTGTCTAACCCCATACACAAAAGTAAACTCAAAATGGATCAAAGACCTGAGTGTAAGTCATGAAACCATAAAACTCTTAGACGAAAATATAGGCAAAAGTCTCTTGAATATAAACATGTGCAGCTTTTTCTAAACATATCTCCTTGGGCAAGGGAAACAAAAGCAAAAATGAACAGTGGGACTACATCAAACCAAAAAGCTTCTGTACAGCAAAGGATACCATCAGTAGAACACAAAGGCATCCTACAGTATGGGAGAATATATTTGTAAATGACATAGCCAACAAGGGGTTGACACCCAAAATATATAAAGAACTCACACACCTCAACACCTAAAAAGCAAATAACCCAATTAAAAATGGGCAGAGGATATGAACAGACAATTCTTCAAAGAAGAAATTCAGACGGCCAAAAGGCACATGAGAAAATGCTCCAAATTGCTAATTATGAGGGAAATGCAAATTAAAACCACAATGAAATATCACCTCACATCAGTTAAGATGGCCAACATCCAAAAGACAAACAACAACAAATGTTGGCGAGGTTGTGGAGAAAGGGGAACCCTCCTACACTGCTGGTGGGAATGTAAATCAGTTCAACCACTGTGGAAAGTATGGAGGTTCCTCAAAAAACTCAAAATAGAAATACCATTTGACACAGGAATTTCACTCCTAGGAATTTACCCTAAGAAAACAAGATCCCAGATTCAAAAAGACATATCCCCTATGTTTATTGCAGCACTATTTACATTAGCCAAGATATGGAAGCAACCTAAGTGTCCATCAGTAGATGAATGGATAAAGATGAGGTGGTACATATACACAATGGAATATTATTCAGCCATAAGAAGAAAACAAAACCCTATCATTTGCAACAACATGGATGGAGCTAGAGGGTATTATGCTCAGTGAAATAAGTTAGGCAGAGAAAGACAAATACCAAATCATTTCCCTCATTTGTGGAGTCTAACAACAAAGCAAAACTGAAGGAACAAAGTAGCAGCAGACTCACAGACCCCAAGAAGGGACTAGTGGTTACCAGAGGGAAGGGATGGGGGAGAGCAGGTGGGGAGGGAGGGAGAAGGGGATTGAAGGGGCATTATGATTGACACACATGGTGTATGTGGGGTCATGGGGAAGACAGTGTAGCACAAAGAAGACAAGTAGTGACTCTGTGGCATCTTGCTACCTTGATGGACAGTAACTGTGGTGTGGTGTCAGGGGGACTTGATAATATGGGAGAATGTAGTAACTACAGTGTTGCTCATGTGACTTCTCAAGAGTGTATATCAGTGATACCTTAATAAACAAACAAACAAACAAACAAATAAACAAAACTGCTGGAGTAAGCTTGAGCTCTGTGTTTTTGTTTGGCCCTCAGCTACACCCTCATCTCCTAGCTCCCCCAAGAAAGCTCAGACTGGGATTCTCATTGAGAGAGCCTGGCGTCCTGAGGGCACAGTATCCGAGCTGGGCAGGAGATGCAGCTGGAGTAGCCAAAGAGGAGCCGACAGAGTAACCATCCCTCATGGCTCATCGTGTGCTGGGAATGTGGCTGTCTGCTACCCCACTCCCCTGCCCCCTGCACCGCCCCCATCTCATTTAATCCCTGCTGCAATGTCACCAGGAACATTTTACAGATGAGAAAACTGAGGCAGAAGGGTCATCATGCTCAGGGGCACGTCATGCTCAGATCTGGGCAGAATCCAGACTGACCGTGAAGCAAACAGAGGTGATGGAGAGGAACTCTTTGAAAACTGGAGCTCTGATGTGAGCATTTCTTGAGGTCCCTGGGAGGGTGGGTGGCATGTCGGAGATCACCAAACTAGTGAGGGGGCAGTCCAGGTTGCAAGCAGCCTCC